TGTGTAAACTTTTTGAAAAGGTGATAAACTGCCGACCTGTACATTTCTTTGAAACAAGCAATTTTCTTGACCAAGTTCAGTGCGAGTTTCGAGAAAATAGATCTACCACTGACTATCTGGTACGTATCAAGGCACAGATCCAAGACGCCTTCGTCCACAAACAATACATCCTTTCTGTGTTCCTCAATATCAAAAAGGCTTGCGACGAAAATGGTGCTTTAGAATATTGAGAAACCTGTCCCACCTTGGTGTGCTGGCTAAAATGTTTACAATCAAAAGTACTTGCCCAATCTGACATACTGTGTACGAGTGGGCAGCATTCTTTCCCACACATTTGTCCAAGAAACAGAAATGCCGCAGGGTGGTGTATTTAGTTGTACACTTTTTATTGTCAAAATGAATTCCTTGCACCTGTCCATCCCCTCCAATATGTTTTACTGCACATATGTCGATGATGTCCTACTCGGTTTTAAGTCTTGTAATCTGGCAGTGTGTGAGCAACGGATTCAGCTTTGTTTAAACAAGGTCTCCAGTTGGGCAGAAGAAAACGGGTTTCAACTGAATTCACAAAAAGCGCGTTTGTCTTGTTCTCCAAGAAGAAAGGCATTCATTTCGAACCTGACATTCAACTCCATGGGGAACATCTTTCTGTTGATTCTGGACATAATTTCGTAGGCATAATCTCGGACGCCAAGCTTGCCTTCATACCGCACATCTAGTATTTAAAAAAGAAGCACACAAAAGACATAAATGTTCTAAAAGTGTTCTCATGCACTACGTTGGAAAGTGACAAGAAGTGCCTGATGAACTTGTATAAAAGCCTTATATGCACTCGCTTAGACTATGGGTTAATAACCTATCAGTCTTTGACAAGTACTACCCTAGAGATGCTTTATCCTGTTGCTTGAATCTAAATGCTTGAATCTACGCATTCGCCTCTCTACGAAAGCTTTTCGCAACTGGGGAAAGCCTGTACGTCGAATCGAACGAATGGTCACTCCTTCTGCAGAGATACTACACGTCTTTTAATTATTATCTTAAAGTGAACACAGACAAGAAATGCCCTTCATATTCTACAATTAATGACATGTTCTTGTCTGTTTAAAAAGTGGCCTTATATTAGACAACTCTACTCGCTTCGTGTGATGGGCTTAGCTGAGAAAACCGGTGTGCCACTTGAGCACCATTTGATGGCTCCTGCAGTGTGCCCTCCACCATGGCAGTGACAGACAATAGTTTGTGACGTGTCGTTCTTAGTGGTTACGAAGCCTGTGCCCATTGCACATATCCGAACATACTTCCTGCAACATAAATACACATGTCCCAAGTTCTTTACAAATGCCTCAAAGCTGAACACTCCTGTGTCGTACGCAGCTGTCAACCCATTCTTTTCGGAAGCCGTTCTGCATTCTAATACAAACAATTTCACAGGCTGAGCTTATGTGATACCTGTGACCAATAAACACATTAAACACATGAAACTACAAAAGGCGGTAATTTACACAGATTTTCAAAGCATAGTAAAAGCATTACAAACTCTTAAAAAACACAAAAACTTCCTCCCTATGTTGCTTTACTCACATTTATGCACAATTTACACATCCAAACAGCATGTCGTAGTCTGCTGGGTGCCTGGGCACTGTGAGATATATAAGGTAACGTTTTGGTGGACCAGCCAGCTTCATCTGGCAACGAAACCTCTGCCAATATATCGATACCAATTCCTGCACTTGACTTGAAGGTTTCTCTAAAATGAAAGCTCAGGGCCTATTGGCAGACACATGAGACAGATACACATATAGTAAACTGCATGTTATCAAGCCGCAAATTGGTCATTGGCCGCCAGTATCAAAATGACGCCACACAGAAGTAATACTTACTAGGCTAAGAACAGGACATACACACACTGCACATTCATTCCTTTTGCCTGCCGGCAATCCGTCTTAGTATGACAGATGTGGAGAAGCACTCAGTGTACTTCAAATTTCTAATCTAGTGTAAACAGTTAGACACGCTAAGAAGACAACCACTTTCCCTTACCCTACCGACAACAGATACCACTTCACCCTGGCCCCGCCACGGTGGTCTAGTGGCTAAGGTACTCGGCTGCTGACCCGCAGGTGGCGGGATCAAATCCCGGCTGTGGCGGCTGCATTTCCGATGGAGGCGGAAATGTTGTAGGCCCGTGTACTCAGATTTGGGTGCACGTTAAAGAACCCCAGGTGGTCGAAATTTCCGGAGCCCTCCACTACGGCGTCTCTCGTAATCATATAGTGGTTTTGGGACGTTAAACCCCACAAATCAACCACTTCACCCTGCAATGTTCATCGATCAGAAACCACTTATCACACATAAATCAGTATTGGCATTATTGAGAGACATTCATACCTTTCATGTTATATACCCAGGCATTCCAGCAGCACGACCTCTCAGGAACTTTTGCCATCCATTCACACTACACACATTTCTTGTCATGGTCATGATTTTAATACTTCCTTGTTTTTACCCGCCTTAGCGTGAGAAATACAATGATATCTCGGTAGAAAGAACCCCACATTGACGAACTTTTCAGATTAATGAACTTTTAAAAATCCCGCGCTGACTGCAAATAGTTTCAGTGTAAAATTATTTCTCTACTACGTACTTCAGAATACCGAGCTTTTCAGAATAATGAACGTTAATTTTGTTCCGCGTTATATTAACAACGCCTCAGTACTACGAACTTATGTTCTGAAGTCCGTCGCGAGTACCAGAGCGGTACACAAGCAGACGACAAAGCGAATGGACGCCTTGCTTCTCAAAATACACGTGATGGTGGGGAGAAAAAAAACAACGAAATGGCTAATTTCTTTTCTTTTTTTTTTTTTGTTGAAGCACCGACGCTGCAGGTTTAGAAGCGAGCGCAAAGGCGAGGGCAAAACGGGAGGGCAAGGTCAGCAAGGCAGAGTGGGAGTTCCGGAATAGGAAGCATGGGCGCAAAAACCTGGAACAGCGAGAGAGCAGAAAACAAAACGCGAGGAATTTTCTTCTTTAGCACTTTTTTTTCTTCAGGCGATGGCAGTTGTGACGCTTTGGGTTTTTCCTTGGAGGCCTTGTTTTTTTCAGTCGTGTTCATCTCTTTTTGGTGATTACTTATCGCGTCCGCAAAGCAAGTCAATGTTCCACTGCGGTGATACTACAAATGAGTTCATCTCTGCTTGCGACGAAAAAGCGGAAGCAGTTTTTGCTAACCGAGACAATGGATATTCTTCGGCAACTGGAAGGTAAAGAGCAGGCTGTTGTGACCAAAGAACCGAGTCACACCACAGGAATGTGTATAAGCTGGAGGCCTTCGCGCTGCAAAGTTCGTGCTGCTCGCGTAAAAAAGAAATCACAGACTTCTTTAAAGTAAACGTGCATTTTTTGGTGTTTACTTGTTTATTTGTTTTTTGCTCGTGAAAAACGAGTTCAAGGATCTACCATTGTAAAGGTAAGTCATTTTGGTCGGTAAAAAATAAGTATTTATGATTCATTTTTGAGTTTTCACTATAATGACCTTTCAAAATAACGAATGAATATCCGTGGTCCCCCTGAAATTCGTTATACTACCGAGATTTCACTGTATTAAGGTCCTTATACAGTCATTTATTATATTTATTGTTCATATCTCTAGTCCCTAATATCTGCACCTGGTACTCTTTGGCCATCAATTGGCCCTTACACCACAAGACATCAAACATTAATCTTCTCCCGGGTAATGAACCCTTCCCCCCAGATTGGCGTCAGTTTCCCTGAAAAAAAAAGGGGGGGGCTCATTATGTGAATAAATACGGTAAGTACAGAAGAAGCCCTGGATTATCTCCTACATACACAAGCTGTGCCAGGGCTTAAAAAACATTGCAAATAGGTATGATTTAGAGGGTAGTATTTTCAGCCCCAGACAAGCAAATCAAGTTATGTAGCTGAATAGATAAAAGCTATCCCAACACGCAAAAGGCTAAAGACAACTAGGATGCTGCGTGAATCACAGACAGTCATATGTAAAGCGTGAAATAGGTGTTGTTTATTTGGTTTCATTGTCCTGTGGTTATTTGGTTCCAGCGTCCTGTGTTTCATTATCTACATAAACCAAGAAATGCAAGTGAGTTCTGCAAATCCTGCAAGGTGGAAGAAGGGTTAAGAAAGGGGAAATAGACAACGGTCCGTTTTGTAGATTGAAACCATAAAGGAATCCGTACGGATTTCTCAGAAGAAAAAAAGCCTCTTACGTAGTTGCCAAAAACTTCGTCCTGGTCCAGGGTTCGAACCCAGGACCAACACTTTTCCAGGGTGGTTGCTCTACCAAGCTTACCAGGAAGCTAGCAATTGGCAACGTGAGGGCAAATTCATCAACTCGAAGCCGATGTATGCAAGTAATGCAAATGAGTTCTGCAGAATTTCATAATGTGCTGAGAGGGTTAATAATGAGAAAATAGACACCCACCGGTTCTGTACATTGAAGCCACAAGGAAATTCATCTTTCTATATACAAAACAGGTGGCTGTCCCTTTCTTACGTTTTCCCTTTCTTACATAGGCCAAATGGAAAGATTTATTAATTTCAGGTTGTAGAAACACAGAAGATCGTTGGATACAAAATACAGCTCGCACATGCCCCCACATTGTATCTCATGGGATTGCATTCCTGTTTGTTTTTTTTCATGCTATCATTCTTTCAAAACACCCAGATCAGATCACCAGAAAGTTGGAAGATGTGAGGTGAAATGTGTAAGCACATCCTCCAACTGTATATGAATTTCTAAATCTCATCATCACTCATAGGGTCTGATCTTGAGCCACAAGCCCCATGTGTGTCTTTTTCTTTTCACTAGCCAGGTCATGCAACAGAAGTGATATATATACGTACTAGATTTTCTTTCCAATAAGCTGTAGTTGCTGATAGGTGCCCATTTTTTCCTTCTTGTGCCCGTGTCTGTGTGCACTTTATCCAGTTTAACCACAAGCTTTGGTCTCTTGGCACAGGCAGCGGACGAGCATCAGTCAGAGCGGCGACAGGTGCAGGAGCAGCTGGTGCGACTGCTGTCGCGCTCTTCGGCACGAGATGTTGCCCTGGCTGGTTGTGGCTGCTTGGACTGTGGGACAGCTGAGTGCTGGGAGCCATGCTAGAAGTGCCTCATCTGGTCAGTTTGATGACATCTTTGTTCAGTGAACTTGCAGCACGAGAACACCCACAAGAGGCAGAGAAGAGGCACACATGTGTCTCTTGTGTGTGTTCCCACGCTCTAAGTTCAAATATGAACTACCCACTAGCCCACTTTTCTATCCTCTTGCTGATGACATCTACTTGCGACTAGGTTACTCGACAAATATCAGAGAAATACAGATGTAGACAGAATGGAGTGGGAGGACAGTTTAATCTCAAATGTAAATTTTCTATCACTTCTTTTTGAAAAGAATATATTTATTTATTTATTGCATACTGCCAGCCACCTCTTGGTGGCCAAGGCAGGAGTGATACAAACTTTCATACTTGCAGCCACATATAACACTACACTTCACGGCGCAGAAATGAAATCACCACATAACAGGTTTGCGTGGAACATGAATACTCGGGTTACAGGAGCAACACAAGAGCGGTATCGAAAATACAATCCAAATTTTTGTTCCTAATACGAAGTGTAAAAACATCATTAGAAGAATTAAAATCTGCACATACGACCAGACAGCTTTTACTACAAACAGGCAGTGGCAGCTGATAAGAATGCGTCGGGCGCTGCGATGCTGGTGACGTCATGAGGTAGTTCATTCCAGTCGGAAATTGTTTGTGAAAATTGTTCGTGGAAAGTAGGTGCAAATATAAGTGAGAACTAACAGCTCTGTTAGTTCTCACTTATATTTTGTCTAACAAAGACATGTGAGGCCATGTCGCGCACAGCCATAAAATCGATTGAGAAGGAGCATGGCTTCTGCCTTTGAGTCATCTTGGGGGAATACATTAGCGACAGTATGAGATTTCAGCACTGACACACTGTTGTATATCGCGGTGTTTGTCTAGCTGATAACCACATCAATGTAAATTTAGAATGTTTTTTCATAATGTACAATTTTTAGTATCCTGTATTCTATTTAATTGTTAGTTAAAAATATTGTTGAGGAAACTATTCGAGAATTAGGCTTGTGCGAATGGTGAATTTTAAATTCTAAGTGAATGCAAAGGAAATAGTGATTTTGGTTGAATAATTTCGAATCGAATTTGAATACTATACTATGTCATGACCTAACTGATCGGCACAATAATTTTTAAAATTTGAAACGAGGCCTGTGTGTTTTTTTTTCCATAGAAAGTGGGAACAACTTTGAATAGGATTTGACTTACAGGAGTATGCAAGTCATGACCTGTAAAATATGTTGCGTTTTAAAATGTACTACACTTGAGCATATAAGCCTATTTAACAACATTTTAAACTTAAAAAATGATTAATCGATGTGAGGGTAGTACGTTCATTTAGCCTTGAAGTAAACCTTCGCGGCAGTCGAATTTTTTTTGGGTAGATGTTTTCATGGCTTAGCAGTTTTTTACTGTTGTGAAATCACATTTACAGAGGCTTGAGTATTTTTAGGTGTTTTCACGGCTCAGCAACACTTTACTGCAATGAAACCAGCTTTACATGGGCTGTTATACAGTTTTTAATTTATTGGATTCCGTGGCCGACACTCCGCCGGCCAGGTCGGCGAAGCTAAAAGCACTTTGAGCGGCGAAGCCCCGGCCGCCTAGAAAATGTTTATTTTTTACATTGTTTCATAGATGGCAGAACAGTACTTTGTGTTTGCTTTCTTCTTGGTAAATTATCCGCTGATATGGACATAGTTTTCCAGGTTCTTTAGCTGTTTTAAAGCGTTTTTTTTTTTCTTCAGTGGTGAAGGGTGCACTATTGCTGCTTTTTCGAAACATGGCGTGACGGAAGAAACGCGGTTTGACGGATGAAGAAATACTGATTATTGTGTTCGACAGTGACCAAGAAAATGTTGTTTGTGATGAAGACGATGCTTTGTTAGACAAAAGGGAACTGCCAAACAAATGAAAGTGGTAGTGATGAAGAAGCGAATCTGTGTTTAGTGGACGCCTCTATGGATGCTTCGCAGAGATTTCCAAAGAAGTGCAGGATTGAAAACTGGCGATGTGAAGAAGAGGACAGTGTTGAAAAAATTGTCGAGCACCCTTTAAGGGGCCAACCAGGTGTCAAAAGATCTATAGAGCTTCAAGTAGGTACAAATCCGAGTGCTCTCGGAATGTTCAACGCACCTCATGTAGAAGAGATTTGGGGCGTAATTGCTTTGCACATGAACGCCTTCGCAAGTGAGAAGCAGATCTCGCATTCTGACCCCTCATGGCATGAAACAACGCCAGGTGAAATGAAAGCTTATTTCGCCATGTGCATGTTGATGAGCCAAGTGAAAAGAGCAGCATTCGGTCCGAGAGCTGTCGTCAGCACACCATTTTTTGCCACTTTTATGCCAAGACATCGCTTTTGGGCACTGTCATGCTATCTGCATTTTTGCGACAACAGTATTCTCCAAAATAAAGATAGGCTGTGGAAGATACGGCCTGTTCTTGATCACATACTAAATCCATTGGTGCAGCTTATCATCCCGATGAAGATTTTGCGGCCGGCTGTCTTACCTCAGTTCAATCCTTCGAAACGAGCAAGATTTGGATTGAAATTCTACAAACTGTGCGAGTAATCTAATAGTTACTGCCTGAATTTCTCAACTTATACTGGAAAAAGTGACAAAACACCAGCAACTGATGGGCTATTGTGCAGTGAGGCCGTTGTTCTTGACCTCGTTAAAAAACACTTACCTGATGGCCACATGATATATATGGACAACTGGTATTCTTCACTGATACTGTTTTGTCGCCTTAAAGAATCTGGTTCGAATGCAGTGGTTACAGTTCGTCTACACCGTAAGAACATGCCAGATGAATTCAAGAAACTCAAGATAAAAAAAGGTGAATGCAAAGCCCTCTTTGCACGAGGCATCATGGCTCTGACATGGCAAGATAGAAAGCAAGTAGCTATGCTTTCTATCTTGCACAATGCAGCTAATGTAACCGATTCAGGAAAGAAGGGTCGCCAAAAATGGCTTGCCAGTTTTAAAACTGCAAGTTGTACTTGATTACAACTAAGGCATGGGAGGAGTTGATCGTGAGGACCAACAACTCGCTTCCCTTCCCATTATGAGCAGATATGCGAAAGGCTACAAGAAAATCTTCTTTTACATTATAGACATCACATTTTATAACATCTATGCTCTATTTTTCAAAGCACCTGGCAAGTGGCTCCACTACACTCATTGGAAGATTGGAAGGTTGATCTCGCTGAGGCCATTTTTAAAGAGACGAGTCTGCCCCTCCATCATGATCGAAGAAACGCGCCTGTAGCGGCCTCACCAATGTGCCTAAAAGCTGCCGAATGGGCTCTTTTTCCTCGCCACATAGTGCCAAAGTCAAGCAAATGCCATCAAGACTCTGCTGAGTTGTAAGGCACACGGCAAAACGTCCGAGAGCTGATGGGAGTGTGAAATAAATGTGAAGTTTCTCTTCACATGCCCGTCTGCTTTAAACTTTTTCACACACGAAAGTCATACTGAAGCACCTGATGCAGTCAAGTATTGTTAAGCAAATAAAACAAAGTTTGTTATTCTATGACTTTTGTTGCGGATTTTATTGCAGTTTAGGTGCACCTGCCCAAGCCGCCGGCTGGTGCGAAAATTTTTCTGCGAAATACCAGGCGGGAACGGCCACGAGGTGTGCGGAAGCCAATGAGTTAATGTGGGCTGATATACAGCTATTTGTTCATCTCGAATACTTTAAAAGTTTGAATAATATAAATACGAAATGAAGCAAACTTGGATACTGTAATATTCGTTCCAATATTCAAAGCATTTGAATATTCGCACAAGCCTGTTGAAAACACTCAACTGCATGGTGCTCTTATTTTTGCCTTATTGAGTGAAATATAGATTGCTTGTGAGATAATTTTTCCGTGAGATTGGCAATATGAATAAAAATATTTCTAGGTCTTCGTAAAAGTCTGTAACAAAGTATAACAAGGTGCTTGATTGTAAATGCAACTAGCTTCTCTATGTTATGCTAGGATGTGAGAATAGCTGCTCCAGTGTGCCCCATGATGCAAAATTAGCTGCTCCAAAGGGCTCCCAAATGGAATTTTTGGCTGCTACAAAGTGCTACACACTGAAAATTTTTCTGCGACAAAAACGTCTCCAATTCAGAAGTCCGCGGTAACATCACTGCAACAAGGATGGTCTCTCGGACATCGTCGTCTTGCATGGCCGCTACTCTTTGTGCCAGCCCTAGCTGCTGCTTTTTCTTTTTTCTCGGCCGCCACCACCACATGCTATTTTTTTGTCCGCAACATGCCGCCTTTCTTGCGGCTGTCTTCATCATCTTTTCCTTTTTGCCGCAATAAAAAATTGCTAACATGAGGCTCCCGTTGTAATCTTTCTTTATATTGTCTGTACGGCAGAATCGAACTATTACACAGTTTTGTACTAGCATAGGAATGATGAAATGCGTCTGATGATTAAGGCATGGCACATCGGCAATACGTAGTGGTAGCACTTGCGTTAGCCAACAGTCAATTAACCTCATAAACGGGCAGTCAAATGCCTTTAGTTATTGTTGAGGTCTACCACGACGCATGCCAGATTGATATGTTTGCATGTTGCATGGGCATGCACAGATACATTTTCGTGCCTTCTTTTTTTTTTTTCGGCCATTGTGTGCATCTTCAGTTGTGATGCATACAAACCTCATTATAACAAACTATCTTCTGCCACAAAAATATTTTACTATAGCCAAAAATTTGTTAAAAAATTATTTGTAACACTGTATTTATGGTAAAGTTATTGGTCACTTACTTTGTTATAATCAACAATTCGTTATATGGAGGTTTGAGTGTGGTGGGTATTTGTTGTGTCCTGACTTCCTTCTTTTATGTCTGTACTTGCACAGAATGAATTGCTGGCGTCCTTAAAGATTGTGTGTGGTGCAGTAGTGTGCCTTAATTCCACTGTCTGTTGGTGGCAGAAATTCCTTTCGACCTTTTTCAGCTGCTCCACATTAGTAAAGACACTTCTCATTGCACACTCCATGCAT